GAATTATGGAGTTTAGACTTGGTAGTCCAACACTAACATCTGACTGAAATATTTGGAGGTACTTAGTATGGATCCACGTGGTGTGGTGTGTGCTACTGATGTCGACAGATATAAGTAGTATGTATCGTCAGTCTAATGTGAAATGCCCGGCGACAGAAGGTTAAGAAGATAGAAGGGATGGGAACGAGAACAGAGGACAATTTGTATGGAAATGGAGGAACAATCAAGTCTGAGACAATCGACTGACATTTTACAAATGAGGTATTTACTGTATGATTCTCGGATTTTACTAAGAGATTCAGTAGTTTTGTATTAAAATACAATAGGTTGTCCTCACTAGTGTTCTCGTTCACTAAAGTACTGGTAAAAATCGATAAACATTTTGACAAAAATGGAGCGCCGAATATAGGGAAAACATCATTTATAAAATTAATATTTGATATAATCTCAAAAATTGGAATTGAAGTGATTCCAGCATTTCATCCAACAAACTTATCTGGACGTCTTCAGAGTAATTATCGAAATCAAAATTGTCAAAGAATATATAATGTTTGCTAAACTTTTTTACAAATAATTTAAGTAAGCCACAATATACCACTTACAAGTGTTATTGCGTAAGATTAAGGTTTATAGTCTACAGAAAAAATAATGGCAATTACTTATTTAATCAATAGAATAAATACACGTGTCTTGTTTTACTATCTAGATAATGTTTAACTAATCTGTACATCATGATAATTAAAGTTTACTGGTTGAAATCATGAATCGATTGAAGCTAGATCACCATGGAAAACCTGGAAGCACTGGACGGCCGTTTCGTCCCAGTGCGGGACTCCTCAGCAGTGCGCATCCACGATCCCGCTCCTCGCGAGATCCGAACTCAGGACCTATCAATTTCGCGCCAGACGCTAAACCAACTAGGCCACTGAGCCGGCATTCAACGGTGTTAATGTCTAACTTCAACCAATCCACGAAGTTGCGCCACCGTACACCATTGTCTTCAGTGAGCTGATATCTCACAACAGACCTAGTTGAACTCCACTGGTAACGGCTTCTCACTATAACTTCAGGAGTATCTCTTGAAGTCAGTCACTAGTGAGCAGATGATTATTATTATCAGAAGGGACTGTGTGGAGATTTTAGAAATTTCACTGGTTGAAATCAGGAATCCATTGAAGCTAGACCACCATATATATATATATATATATATATATATATATATATATATATATATATATATATATATATATATATATATATATATAGGTTATCATGTGCACTACTGGTATTATTTGAACTGAACTTCATTTTCCGATTCATTTTTCTCATTTGAATTTAATCTGGAAATCATTTTAGTCGTCCGGTTGATCTTCATCATCCATTTTTTTAGTTAGCTTGCTAACAGAACAACGCTTAAAAGTTTTGCTCATACCCAGATGAATTTTAGATAGGTAGATTCACTCTCACTGATATCAGTTATCACAAAATGTTTTATCTAGGTGCACAATTTTGTAGACTTCATTTGGATGCTTTACGATAGTTATGTTCAATCTATGATCTCAGTCTATTAGCTTCCTATGATTTACTCTGTCTTCGAATGTCATCGATTAGAAAAACAATCAACACACAATATATAAAACTACAGTGTTAAAGTATGTTGTGTTTGTGCACGGATGCATGGTATTTTACACATCTAAGTTCGGTAATCTAGCAATAATAGCTTACAACTTATATTTTAGTCTGTCGTGCGAAAGCATTAGTTTATCATTGGTGGGGAAATTTAACTTATAACAATAGCACTTATTGCTAAAGTTGGGTACTGGTAAGGAGTGTAATCCAGGAGGAGAGAGTCTTCCTGTCTGCGACTCATCAGCTGAATGTATATGGACTCCGGCGTCGAGATTTACACAGATAATCAAAACCATTACCTTTCACTTTAAACACTAGGGAGCTGCTAAGGTCAGATAGATAGGTACATGTGTAACGAGTATGAATTTTATTAAACAGGGTGTAGATTTAATGTTGACTCAGCAGCTAAGTAAATAATGTATTGACATTTGAGGGGAACGAGAGTGATTTCGAGTTTCAGTGTGAATGTAATCACTGGAATCCAGGTAAATCCATCTAGCGAGTCCCGAACAAGACAAACCAACCATCCTGGATTCGATTGTTAGCCATTCTTCAAACTTGATACAAACTTGTTACTAAATACCAACACTAATTCTGATAGAAGTCACATATTTCGATAGAAACTAGTCAGTTCGAGTCGTTAACACGGGGAAAATGCAAACATTTAGGACTAATGATCCGTTATTTTTTCCTGGCTCTTCTGTTTATGACAGAACAGTCTATTATAAACAATCAGTATGGGAGTTGTGGAGATTGTTAAGTTTTTGATTGAGATCGTGGATACGCACTGCTGAGGAGTCTCATACTAGGACGAAACGGCCGTTCAGTCTTATCAGGTCTTCAATGGTGGTCTAACATTAATCGATTCATGCTCTTAATCAATAAGAAATAAGTATCCTAATAAATTTAAGTAAAAAGGAACTAATTCATTTTTGTATTCATTTGCTTTACTAATATAAATATCAAAGTGAACTGTACAAGATTTCCATCTTAATTTTGTATTCATCATCATGGTGAATACATCATCATCTTATCAACTGAATAGTATTCAAGTAATCAATATTTATGTTTCACAGAAGGTCAATTGAATTAACTGATAATGAATGGTAATTTGTTAAATAGAATATTGTTTCAGATACATAAGAGAAATGCTTTCACTATTGATTTTTAATATTTAGATTGAGATTTTTATGCACAAAATAGTCTTAGTCCCTTGATTTCCGATTGATATAGGTAGCCATTGAGGCTCACTTATTTTGGTAATAAGACAGATATTACTGGTGAGACACTGGACAATAAAATATTCTCGAAAGACTTCAGTTTTGGTTATAGTTAGAATTGTAAATAATAGAATTGTGATCAGCGTAATACACATACTGCAAGGCTCGCCTAATTGTGAAAACAACTGTTTATTACTTTGTTTTTCGTTGGTTGTCTTTCAGAAGTCATTTCTTGCTATAGACTATCTCCTAATGTTTTATCTAATGGTTTATCTAATAACCCTTATTAATTTTAACTTTTAATCTCATTTTCAATCCTATCCTCAATGTTTTATAGTGATAATGTTTCAATCATGACACATTTTGCATCATAACTTTCAATACCTAATTATAATTATGTTCATCATGTTATCTTAGCTTAAGGAATGGTTGTTAATACATTTTGTAGTAAAATTTAATATACATTTGTCTATAACATGTTTTATATACCTTATTTCAATTTCCACCTTATGATCTAACGTGCTAGTTTGTCAATTGCTTTTAAAGTTAACTATTTGATTTTCACTACACTCACGAGAATCCTAATTCATGCATCATTATTTAAATTGATTTCTATGTCGATTAGTAAAAATAATTGTTTAAATCAAATTACTCTGCTATGAAATTTAAAGTTCTTCTAGTCCATAAAATTAATGAATTGATATATTTATTACCGAGGTTTGACATAAGTTTGGCATAAGTTTGAACAGCTTGAACAATGCAAACCTACGATACTACTAAGGTGAACGAGAACACCAGTGAGGACAACCTATTGTATTTTAATACAAAACTACTGAATCTCTTAATAAAATCCGAGAATCATACAGTAAATACCTCATTTGTAAAATGTCAGTCGATTGTCTCAGACTTGATTGTTCCTCCATTTCCATACAAATTGTCCTCTGTTCTCGTTCCCATCCCTTCTATCTTCTTAACCTTCTGTCGCCGGGCATTTCACATTAGACTGACGATACATACTACTTATATCTGTCGACATCAGTAGCACACACCACACCACGTGGATCCATACTAAGTACTTCCAACTATTTCAGTCAGATGTTAGTGTTGGACTATCAAGTCTAAACTCCATAATTCATTCTAAAGATTTTGAATACATCTTGCTGATAAGGTTACCTAACGTAAGGCTTATGTCTATGAATAACTGTTGACTACCATCAACCATTTAACAAAACATATCATCATAATCATAATCACTAGCGTTCATCCAAACAAACATCTCTGAGTCTTGATCAAAAGTCAAGAATTTAATGCTTCCGCCATTTTAGGTGATACAAATAATCAAAATCGCAGATTAGAGATCATGAATGATATGGCTCGTAATGATTAGCAATGGCTCAATCAGACTCATTCCCCATTTTTCAACATATATATATTCTATACTTTTATTCCACGACTTCACTGGTCATTATTATACTATGTTATGATGTAATGTGTGGAAACGAGAACCCGATGCATATTTATAACATTTTCTACACTACATACAGTCGACTGATTGAGTGATTAAACGAGAATCTTATATCAGGGAATCTAAGTAATTCCCGGTTTAGTATATGGAAATTATATTGATAATAACATGAGATATGTATATCATATTAGAAATTAGTTGACATTAGAATAAAAGGGAAAAATTAGATATTTTATGACCGAATTATATCATTTCCTTATCTGAAACTGAAAATATAGAACTATATATTATATGAATGTTGGTTTGGTGATTCTAAACGAAAAAAATGCTGGTTGCAATTATTGTGAATTGATTGAAGTTAGACATATGATTGGATTTCAGTTTAAATGTCTAGGGGTCAAGCGTTAGCACTAGAGACCAAATGTTCCAGGCTTGATCTCATGTGGTGTGGTTATGGTTGTGAACTCATGCGCAGTCCCATATTAGGCCGAAGCAACTGTTTAGTGCTTCTTGGTCTTGAATGGTGGTTTCGCTAAGATCGGTCAGTGATTCAAATTATGGATAAATATTGATTTAAAAACTTATTTAAACGTAAATTATTCAAGTAAAAGGAAAAAAATGTTTTATGAATTGATAATTTTGTTCGATAATTGAACTGAACAAATAAATTCATTTCCTATTTACAGATTATTATCATCCACAAGATTATGGATTACACTTATCCGGAGTAAAAAATCACGATAAAATTATTCGAAAATTCAATAATTTAGCTAATCAACGATTAATGACTGGTGTTAATGAGTTTTTCGACGAACTGGATCATAATAGTACGTTCATTTTAATTAAGCGTTTTACTTTATTGTACTTGTACTAACCAGTCGTAAATAACTGAAACAATTGATTTTATGCTGAATTAATGAGTTATTAAGTAGAGGAAACTCATTTTTTAAATGTTTGTGATGTATTTGAACTGGTTACATGGTCGAGTTCGTTGAAGGATCTAATTAGTAATGTGAATTATTTTTAGTTTAAACGCCTTATCCTGTGTTTTTGTGTGGTGTAAAACCGAATTTCAAAAATAAGTTTTGTAGTCATGTGAGTGGGTAATTGGTCAGAACATTTTGTTATATTTTACGTGAGGTAGGATTCATTATCATTTAGTAGAAACATTTTAAATGAACAGTCACGATCTATTTCATTTTGGAATAAGCTGTTGATTGTACTGCGATTCAGGTTTTAATGATCTCGATATGATTGGGACAAATTGATGAGACTTATTAACCTAAGTGACAAAATTTCGCCTTTCAAGAAGAAAACTACTAGGCTTTAGTCTGATTGTTTAAATCAATGCTAAGACATGGGTTAATCTGGTAGACGAGCTGCAATTAAAATGAGACAAATGTTCTGGATTAAACTGCTAAATTATTTATAAAATAAATATACACAACTTATGATTTGAATCTATGTACAGACGTGGATTCGAGAAACTGATTAATTCTAGTTTCAAAAAAATATGAGGAATTTGTGGAGATCGTTCACTTTTACATCCTACATCATGAACTGACCTTAGGTAGGAAACTGCAGCAAATCAAATCTCATGATGAACGCTTAACTTTTGAAAGATGAGTCTCGCAGTTCTAGCTCGAAATTATGACCAGTTCAGTTCATGTATGTAGGGTGTAGAGCAGTTGACTGCATGCTCAGATTTTTCTACAGGATTGTGAAGTAAAGTTTTAAATGCAGATCATTTTATGCCAATTTAATATATTGAAGGTTAAGCTCTCACTGCGACACATGAAAGTCATGTGTCTGGTCCCCATTTAGGTAGTGACTATCCCCTCTAATCAGTCTTACCCTAGAACGAAACAGCTGTTCAGTAAATGCTAGTTCTTAATGATTGCCTAAATAAGATTAATTCGATATGTAAACTATCAACGTAGCCTCACATATTAGTTACAGAAAACTTAAAACTCTTATTAATAGCAAAAAGCAGTCAACTCAAGTCTTATTTTTCAATATTCATAGCAGACCAGTTCATTTACATTAAATGCTAAACCAATATATTCTTCTTTTATGATCATGCTAACAACTTGTATTATATTAAAGTTATCAGTAACTAAAAATGAATCTATCTATCCATCTACCTATCTACTTTTATTTATTTTTTTATTTGTTTAAAGACCTCTATCATAATAAAAGACTAATATATGGACGAAAAATACTCTTTTCGATTAATTCTCTTCAGGTTATATATAATATATATCCAGGTTTAGGACATAGTGCATCATTTAAAGTTATAGCATGTGAATTTAGGATTGTCAAACAAAATAGAATAAAATTGTTAAGGCTGATATGACTCATATGAAATATTATATACCAAAGTGTAGCGTCATTTTATAATACTACAATTGCAAAAATAGTTTTAATGATTTTAATAGTCAAGATCATGAGCCAATTGAAGCTAAATCACCACGGAAAACCTGGAGACACTGGACCGCCGTTTCGTCCTACTGTGGGACTCCTCATCAATGCGCATCCACGATCCCTCCTAGAGAGATTCGAGCCCACGACATATCAGTTTCGCACGCCAGCGCTTAACCACTAGATCACTGGCTCGGCATCCATAGATCCTGGGTTTGAATCTGGCGAGGCGGGATCGTGGATGCTCATCGCTGAAGAATCGCACAGTAGGACGAAACGACCGCCCAGTGCCTCCAGGTTTTCCATGGTGGTCTAGCTTTGATTGACTCATAATCTCAACTAATGAAATTATTAGGATCTCCACAAAACCCGTTCTGATAATTAGTTATTTGTAAATTGATTTGTTACCATTAAATCTGCTCTGGATATCGAATAAAATAATAGCTGCCCGTTTTGTTCATAGGTTGTCTTGACTTCGTTTTCCTTAGCATTCAATTTGACTGTATGTAAAACAATGGACCGACTGAGCATCAACAAAAACGGGTAATTCGATGCTTTTCTCAAATTCAGTTCATCAATAATTGTATGGACAGTGAGTTAGGCATTGAGAACTCAAGATATTGAACATATTTTTGGTTCTCATCAACACAAGAGGTTAGAGGATAAATAAGTTTTTAATTCTCCTTTCAGTCTTCAAGGCCCACATTAAACTACCTAAGTTTTCCCGAAAATATCAGTTTATTGTCATTTCACCAAAATCTAGGGAGCTTATATCATGTTTCTCGAACAATCTTAATAGCCTAGGCAGTTTACACACATTTATACCATGTTATTATAGACATCAATTTACTGTAAATGTTTTATGAACGTAATATTCACAACAGTGATTAAAGTTATTAAATTTGTCATGAATGCTTATTCATTTGTTCCTCATTAAAAATTTGAGGGTTCATGTTGATATTTGAAGTTATTGAGGAATGCCAAAGACTCTATCGTAATAATGAATAATTACTTAAAAATGAAATGTAATACTATTTTTTCAATACTACTCTAATGTTTTTGTTGAGTACATTCATATACTTTATTGATTTTAATTATAATAAATAATTTTAATTTATTATCATGTATGTAATATTTCTAGTAATTTAATTTTAAACTGCAAGTTCACGTTTTAGAGTATGATGACATTTGAACTTAAAATAAGTCAAGTTACTCATCTTTTACTCAATGTTTAATGAAAGTTCAATATTTAACATTTTCGAGAACTGTCCTGTACATTTAATAAGTGATTACTGCATGTAACTGCGTAACTATCACTGGTGATATCATTTCAATTGTTTAAAACTATCTACATCTATCCTCCATGAACATGCTACCCAAGAGCATCCAAAACTGCTGAATGTAAAACCAAATAGAGTGAAATTAGTGTTTGAAATAAAATCTTCAGTGAAAATTGTGGTCTTATAGGATATAAACATTCGTTCAATCGACGTAAAAACATTCGAAAATGCATGGTACCACACACACATTGAATACTGAAAAACGGATGAGCTACAAATTCACGGACATGTGTAACATCTCTAAAGTAAACATCCTAGAAACTATTGGTCAATAAGTGATAATCATTCGTAAATTCAACATAATCCCCAAAATTTAAAGAAATGACTTTGATTTGTCTCACATAGTATCTTAAAGTCAAATGATAAGTATAGACTTATCAGAGCGACACCGTTGGAGTACTTTGATTCGGCGCCTAGTCAAAGTGTTGGCTTACATGTTCTTGTCTGGGTGAAACAGTTTATGAGCACTGTAATTCGGCTTGTCAATAGAAGTTTTCAAGTCATTTTTAAGTCATTTTTTTTTATCAAGATAGCTGTTTGTGGATGGGTATCAGAAACACGTGTATTTGAATCGTGAACGCAGTAGAATATAGAATAGGTGTTTAAAATGAACTTTGTTTTTCATTATAATAGTATATGTCTTTTTCACAATACCATGTATATATAATTTAAAACAACTTCAATTATTTATAATATTGAAAGAAGCTTATTTACAGCATCGTTACAGAGTTATCTCACGAAAAAATTACAGACATTTCATAAAGTTTAGAAGGTCAGAGTTTTGTCTCAATATCAGCGGATTATTTCACTGTATTATTATATTTCAGTTATGATGTGTATTAGTTCTTAATTAATGGGATGTTACCGGCTTTATAATATCAATGCGCATGCTAAAATAACTAAAAATATTTTCTTATTATAACCAGGATTATAATTATTTGACCTAATAAGCAATGATGTTTATTTCATAGACGTCAGTCATTTATTAGTAAATAGTTCAGTCGAAAGAAATTATTTACCGGAAAGAATTTGCATTTTTAATTGTGATATTTTTCTCTACTTCATATAATTGGAGTTTGACTTGATTTTGTTCTCCAGTCTAGTCATTCAAAAGATGACATCTTATAGTTGTATTAAATGTATAATAGTGTCTGATGAGTACACTAAACATAAACATGATAATATTTCACAAATATCGGATTACGCACTTTTAGTGACTTCATCACATCTTTAGTCCTTCAGAGTTGACCCTGTTTCTCCTAACTTTATTGTACAAAGATCTCAGTGGAATATCATCAGACTAAAATAAACAAAATTGTGAACATAAATCGATAAAATTAGGTAAATTATTAGTGTTATGCAGCTTTATTGTGATATGAGACTTTAAGTGGAATATGGTCAATCTATGAAAACTTTGAAATAAGCTAATTAGGGAATAGGACTTCGCTAATTTATGGTAATTTAAAGTTTGAACTGTTTAGTGATTTATGGATTTGTCTTTAAGGTGTAGGAACAGATGTTTCAAGTGTGCACCAATGATATGTTGAATAAGACTAAATCAGTTCAAATTCATTTACTTTTTAAACAATTCGTAATCCATTACTGTAAATCGATTTGTAATGATTTTACTCAGCTCCAATAGTTTTTATGATATGTAACAGGTTTTTGAAGCTATTTTGTATTCGTTGAATAGATTTATACAGTCGCTGTCTATGGTTGTAGTATTCCAGTAGTTGAAAGTTTGTAATTTGCTATCTAAGAATTGAATATTTCTCAGTATTATATAGGAATGTATGTGTGCAGAAGTTACATTCGAATATTATTAAGATCACGAACTGATCTAAGTTAGATGACCATTAATAACCTGGAAGTACTGAACAACTGTTTCGTATTAGTTTGTGGCTTAGAAGCATTGTGTATCTACAACCCCATCACCGGGGATTGAACCTAGGACTTTAGGTCTCATGCAGAAACACTTAAGCTTTCGGCCACTGAGCTAGGATGCAATTATGGGCAGATGTGAACTAAATTTAATTAGGTCAGTTTAAATTGATCAGTGCTCGCAA